GGCCTAACCCTTCTTTCACGCTTGGGATAATGAAATCAAGAGTCAGAGAGGTAGGAGCCAGGAAAGCTGAGTTCAGGCCTAATTCTACCATTTCTCAGCTGAGTGGTGACTACAGGCAAGTAAATTGTCTGTTTGAGCCTTAGTTTCTAGATAAATAAAACAGAGCTAATGATAATTTAAATTTCAATATAATAATAAGAATATTTGCTATGCACTAAGCACTATTCAGAGTCTTTTACGTATAAGGGCACCCTAAAAGTTCATGGAAAATGGGAAAAAGTTAACTTCATTTTGGTACAAAAATTCAAATCCATGCATACAAGTTTTCAAAAAGTTCATAGTCATGCATATTAGAAAAAAAAAACTACATATGGATGTCAAAACTTTATGCACCAAAGTAACTTATCTTTTAACTCCATCTTCCATGAACTTTTTGAAGTGCCATCATATTTTCCCTCATTTAATAATCAATACCTTGGGGCCAGCGCCGCGGCTCAATAGGCTAATCCTCCACCTGCGGCGCCAGCACACCGGGTTCTAGTCCCGGTCGGGGCGCCGGATTCTGTCCCGGTTGCCCCTCTTCCAGGACAGCTCTCTGCTGTGGCCCGGGAAGGCAGTGGAGGATGGCCCAAGTGCTTGGGCCCTGCACCCCATGGGAGACCAGGAGAAGCACCTGGCTCCTGCCTTCGGATCAGCGCGGTGCACCGGCCTCAGTGCGCCAGCCGTGGTGGCCATTGGAGGGTGAACCAACAGCAAAAGGAAGACCTTTCTCTCTGTCTCTCTCTCTCTCACTATCCACTCTGCCTGTCAAAAAATAAATAAATAAATAAAAATAATCGATACCTGGTTCATAGGTGTTGTGAAGAGTTAATGACATCAAGTGTTTTTGGAGAGGCTGGTGCTGTGGCGCACCATTAAGCTGCCGCCTGCGATGCCAACACTCCACACTGGAGTGCCAGCTGGAGTCCAGCTGCTTTGCTTCCAATTCAGCTCCCTGCTAACGTGCCTGGGAGAGCAACAAAAGAGGGACAGGGTGTTTGGGCTCCTGGTTACACAAGTGGGAGACCCAGAGGGAGTTCCAGGCTCCTGGCTTCAGCCTGGCCTAGCCTTGGCCTTTGTGGCCAACTGGAGAGTAAATCAAAAAGCAGAAGACCTCTCTCTTGCTCACTCCCTCGCTGCCTCTGTCTCTCCATCTCTCTAACTCTGCCGTTCAAATTTGGAAATTATGAAATGCTATGAACATATGAAGTATATTAGGAAAATGCCACAAGCATTCATGCTGTGGTCCTGTGACTGTAGCCAGCAAGGCTTCTTCCTCTTCGGGACTCTCACCGCACTGGCTGTGTGCTCATGATACCTGACACACAGCGTCATCATCATCTCCTAACAGCTCTCCAAGTCAGCTGTCTGATAATCCGACACTTCTCTTCCACCTGCACTGTCAGACCAGCAGACTGCATAAAAATGCTTCAGACCAAGGATCATCCCTGGATCTTCCAGAACATTTTGGATTTTTAAATATTGATTATGCTATGTTGTTTGATTATATGCTCTGACCATACATAATATTCACATCTATAGAACACCCAGTGCTTCACAGCATACTGAGTAAGTTTGCAATTGAGGCCTGCTTGCTTACTGACTGGAGAGGTTAGGAATGGTGGTTTGAGCTGGACCCAAAGCAGCCACGCTTGGACGGAGTCTCTTCCTGCAGGCCCAGCCATCTTCTCATCTCTTCCTCATGCCAGCCCCACGGTGTCACATTCCTTCCTTTCTATCCTTCCCCGCATGAAAATCTGTTCCCAATCTCCATCACTGGAGCAGAAGGGCCTGGAAACAGCCTAGAGTGTAAATCCTCCCTAGATCACTGAACGCTGTGCAAGGATCAAACCTTAACACAGCAGATGACAGACTCAATGCATCTGCAGGCTCCAGAAAGCATTTAGGGAGACTTTCTTGTAGCTCTGGAATTAGTCCAGTACCTATGAGGGCCCAGACATTTCTAACAAGGTACTTGATTTCTGGCTCTCACTGTCTCTAACTCAGGCCTTGTTCTTTTGATCAAGCATCTCAAGGATTCAAGAAGACTGAAAATAAACGAGAAATCACAGGGGATTCCTGTTTCTCACTCTACGAACTGAAGAGTAAAAGCTTGCCAGTCTTGGCAAGTTTGTGAGTGATTGCTGCCACCCACTGGCAAGACGTGCATTGCAGCTCCGCCTCAGTCACAGCTCAACACCCACTGCCCAGTCCACAGACTCCACCGCTCTGGGGCCTTCTGCAGGTATTTATCTACTGCTCTGAAAAAACAGGCCCTAAGATTAACTGTCTCTTCTACAAAACATGGGTCCACACATATGCAAAGCTAGACTGCTGCTTTTTGCAACCTGTAGAAAGAAAGGCCGTGGTTTGTCAGTAAATTCAGCAAAAATGTGCTGACCACCCAATGGCAGGTGCTGGCCCTGTTAGCAGTCACCAAGCAGAGAAAGCCCAGTTTAGAAAAGGAAATTGAGCCGGCACCGTGGCATCCCATTTTGGTGCCGGTTTGTGTCCTGGCTATTTCTCTTCTGATCCAGCTCTCTGCTTATGGCGTGGGAAGACAGTAGAAGATGGCCCAAATGCTTGGGCCCCGGCACCCATGTGGGAGATCGGGTACAAGCTCCTGGATCTGGCCATTGTGGCCACTTGGGGAGTGAACCAGCGGATGGAAAACCTCTCTCTCTGTCTCTTCTTCTCTCTGAAACGTTGCCTCTCAAATAAATAAATAAATAAAATCAAGAAAGGAAGGAAGGAAGGAAGGAAGGAAGGAAGGAAGGAAGGAAGAAACGGGTAATTGTTAACTAATATTTGTATTCCATCTTTCAATTTTTCTCCTTTAAAAAATGTTAAAGCACACAATTGAAATAACAGCAACAAAAGAAGTTTCAGATAACTTAGATTGAAAGCAAGTTTCCTCCACTTTAAAGGCAGAAAAAGTTTTCTCTTAGAAGGGAGACAAAAACAAAAATAAGATTGTAATGCAGGAAAAAGCTGTAGCAGAAGTATGAACCAAAATAGAGAGCAGGTCTCCTTGCCTGGAGAAGTCCAGGAAGACTCCACTTAGACCGGGCTGTCTTAGAGGAAGAGTAGGAATCTGCAGCATAAGGAGGAGGAAGCAGAATTGAAAGGCAGAGCAAGTGCCCGGAGCACTGTCCCCGGGCAATGAGAGCTGCGGCTCCTGGAGCAGCGAGCAGGCACCACTGCGAAGGCCTTGAAGGTCTGCCCAAGTAGCTGGCCAGATGGTAACGGTAAGTTCCCCTCAATTTTTTTTTATTGTGGAAAATCTTATCTTCAATAATTACCAACATTTTGCCAATCATTTTCATCTATCACCCTCACTGTTTTGTTATTGGGACTACAATCTGAGCATTTTAAAGCAAATCCCAAACATCATGATATTTCTCCTGTCAATTTAAAGTATTATCTAATTGCAATGGCTTCTTATTTTTTATTGTGGCAAAATACACATAACCAAATTTGCCATCTTAACCATTTTACGTGTACAATTCAGTGGTATTAAGTACATTCTGTACAACCACTACCACCATCTATTTTTTAAAAAAAAGATTTATTTATTTGAAAGGCAGAGTTACAGAGACAGAATCAGAGAGAGAAAGAGACAAAGAGATCAGTCTTCCATCTCCTAGTTCACTCTCCATGTAAAGGAAGAGGGGCAGAACAGAGAGACAGGACACAAACTCACAGCCAAAATGAATTTATTCAAGGGAAAATAAGTTTGCAGAGGTGATTCCCTGCCATCGTGCACACAGAGCAAACATGTGACAGAGAGCAAAAATTTAGTTAAGGGTTAGGTTTATGTAGCATAAGCCAGGTAAGGGCCATGAAGTAGAGTGAAGCTGAGCTAGCTTTTTGCAGAATTCTTTCTGCTGCCAGTCAGTTGGAAAAGAATGCAGAGGTGGGATGAGAAGAATACAGGGCATGGTACCAAGCCGGCAGAAGAATGCTGGGGCTATGTCCTTGCTCCATCACCCGAAACGGCCATAACACCCAGGTCTGGGCCAAGCTAAAACCAGGAGCCAGGAACTTCACCCAGGTCTCCCACATGGATGGCAGGAGCCCAAGTACTGTTTTCCCAGACACATTAGCAGGGAGCTGGATCAAAAGCAGAGCCGCTGGGACTCAAACCAGCTCTCATATGGGCTGTGGGCACTGCAGGTAGTGGCTTAACTCACCACAACAGATCACCGGTCCCCATCACCATCTATTTTCAGAATATTCACATTTTCCCAACAGAAACTCTACAGTCATTAAGTAATAGCTGTGCTGCGGTCCTCCCTCTCCACTCCCATGTAATCTCTAATCTATGAATATGCATGCTCTAGGGCAGTGACTTTTTATATATAATCATGCCAATATCTCATCAAACAAAACTAACAATCATTTTAATTAACATCTTTACTAAGTCTTTATCCAAGGTTTTTCCCCTAACTATCCCTAGAAATACTTTCTCAATGATTTTAAGCACAGAGTTGACAGGATCAGATGTGCCTAACGTCTACAGCCCACCTCTCTGAAATGTGGAGGAGACTGCAGGGAACGAACCAGGGCACAAGATCATCTGCAGGGCCAGGGCAGTAGATTCCAAGATCTGCTATTTCACTGGTATTTGGCAAACCGGTAGCTTCTGTACAGCAATCATCTGACAACTCAATTAATCACTTGATTGACTATGCCTAGGAGCTTAGAAACTAGCTCCAAAATGACAGTGACTTTAAAAAAAAGATTCAATCTAATGATAAAAAGTGGCATAAGGCTTCCACTGCAGATGTTCTGAAACAAAGACATAAATAAGATCTACAGTAGTCAGGTGGGGCCTTACATTAGTGAAGAAGTTCTCAACTCACACTGGACTTGTTATCCAATTCAATCACCATACATTTTTCTTTCAGCATAGGGAGAAACTGGTTTAGGAATTAGGAACAACGAATAGGAAAAATCAGTTTGTTTTTTTTTTTTTTTTTTTTGAGATAAAGATAACATCCTGGACGGCGCCGCGGCTCAATAGGCTAATCCTCCACCTAGCAGCGCCGGCACACCGGGTTCTAGTCCCGGTCAGGGCGCCAGATTCTGTCCCGGTTGCCCCTCTTCCAGGCCAGCTCTCTGCTGTGCCCAGGGAGGGCAGTGGAGGATGGCCCAAGTGCTTGGGCCCTGTACCCCATGGGAGACCAGGAGAAGCACCTGGCTCCTGCCTTCAGATCAGTGCGGTGCGGCAGCCATTGGAGGGTGAACCAACAGCAAAAGGAAGACCTTTCTCTCTGTCTCTCTCTCTCACTATCCACTCTGCCTGTCAAAAAAAAAAAGATAACATCCTGTGGCTGGTTCTTGGTATTATTAATTCAGCAATGAAGCTGTTAAATCAAATGCTATATAACTAAGCCTCTTCCTACCTCGGGAACAAGCTTCATGGTGTCTTTGTCAACACGCATAGAAATGATCTAGAAAAGAGTGCACGGGGAAATTGCCAAGTTTGCAGATGGCATTCAGCTCTTCCAGGGATTAAAATGCCAGGCTGATTAGGGATAAACTCAAAGAAGATGTGGACGTGGGCAGAAAAGTGGCAGAGGAGTTTTAATGTGACTAAGTGTAAGAAAACACATTCAGAGGAAATAATCTTATCAGAGGATCATGAACTGGAGTGTTCAACTATAACCGGGTAAAGGATCTTGGAACAACAAACTTGTTCCCTTAAGATGGTCCTGTGAGCTGTCACAGAGAACATATGAGATTGGGACAGTGAAAGGAGGGAAAATGTTAGTGACCAGAAAGTTTGCAAGAAATCCAGTACACTGTATTTCTTCCTCTCTGCCTTCACCTTGTCCAAGTCACAAGTTTCATACTTGTAGCATATCAAGGTCCACTCACTAAATACTAATGACACCATCAAAGTACAAACATTCCAAGAAAAACAGAACAAAATGAAGCAGCTCCGATTTTAGGAAAACTAAAATAATGAATCCCCTTTAGTCTGTAAAGGTCAAGAACCGAAGAACACTGAGTGGCTGTGTATGGATGCACTGTCACTAATCTCAGGTAACCCAGACTCACCTCACAACACTTGGTGCCTCTTACAAGAACACCACCTCAGCGTCCCACAGGAAAACGAGGCTCCGATGAAGGATGTCCTCAAGGTACTGTAAGTAGGTGGCAGAGCTTGTGAAACTACATTCCGAACCTTCTGATAATCAGGATGAGAGACTGTATTCTTCTTTAGATGGGGACTGGGTCTGAGCAAGCACTCATTTTCGTATCCCCAATGCCCGTTCTACTGTGTGACAAGGGAGATGATCAGGAAATGCATACAGACACTGGGAGGTGACCATCAGTCACCCAGTGCAGTCTGATAGCACCTGCATTCCAGCCCTCTGTCTCGTTAGTCCTGCACTTGAAGACTTCTGCACCCACCCCCTGTTTTTCTCCAGACTTTATGAAATTCTTCAGGTAATCTATAGGAAGGCTTCAACAGCCTCTGATGGCAGATGAGATCCCTTAAGAAAAACAACATCTCAAAGCTCCAAAAAAAATTTCTGAGAAAACATCCCAGCTGTGACTTCAGTTGGGAACAGCAACTCATTTTATCTAAGCAGATTTTCTGAAGATATCTATTTTGGGGAATAATTAAATGATACAGAATCACAAGATAATGAGATTATCAAATACTGAAAAGAAAAAAAATCCTGCAACTCAGGAGAACACATGACGGGAAGATTAGATGCATTTGTCTGTAATTATAGGGAGCTGCAGAACAGAATGCTTTGGAGTCATGGGACAGGTTCTCTTTCCCTGACTGGCTTATACAATTAAACCAGGCTGATTTGATAGCACAGCAAAGTGGATCAGTTTGCTTTGCAGAAAGACCAGGCAAATATAATTTCCAAAAGATACAGATTGATTTTCTGCCAGATAAACAGGACTCCTAGGACTGACAGAGCTCCTAGTAGACCTCTAGGTAGGTCACCAATCATACTCACAATCACCACTGTGCACTTCCACCCTTCTGGAGTAGTCTAGACACAGGAAAGTCCCCCACCATCCAGCTTCATCCTTTTCTTTCTAATCTGTCTCCCACTGTCAATCACAAAAAGGCACCCCTTTCTCTGGGTGCCTATACAGCACACATTTCCCCACTGGGACCCCTGGCCTGGCTGCCCTCCAGCCTCCGCTGGTCTCCTCGGTCAGATGACCTCGTGCACAGACAACCTGCACAAGCACATGCAAGAGCCCTGTACTCCATCTTCCACTCACATGCTGATGGAACAAGGGCATAAGCCCCAGCCATTTTAGGTTCTTGCTACCCCTGCCTTCTTTCAAAAGACCAGTTCAGTCTCACACCCGGTATCCCTGTATTGTTCCCCACCCTACCTCTTGCATTCATCCCCAGGTTTGGAAGTCAGTGGGCCAAACTTGAAGAATCACTATGGAGCAGCTCACCTCTGCCTACTACTCCCAACCCCCACCCCAGCTCACCTAAGATACAAAAATGTCCCCGCTGCTGGGGTCTGGGCCCTCTGCCACGTTTTCAGTCTATGTACATGGTAACAGTTAGTCAACTTTTGTGGATTTATTTTCTTTGAATAAATTCAGCCTGGCTGCAAGTTTGTATTCTGTCTCCTCTCTGCTCTGCACCTCTTTTCCTTATATTTGGTGGCCCGTGTGAGGAGACACCAATCTGCACCCTGCTTTTCCTTATATTTGGTGCCCTATGTAAGGAGGGGAGCGAAGGACCTGGTCTCTGGGTAAGAGCTCTGATCCCCCACCCTTCCTCTGAACTCTGTTCTCCTTTCTGAACTTCTCCGTTTTACTGTCTCTGCTCATTCCTATCTTCTCTTTCCTACAATCTCCTCTTTCCCTTCTGACCCTGACGCCCTGCGAGACCCCTCTCCAGAACACGTTCTCACTCCCGCTTGTACTTCTCATTTCCCAACGAACTCACAGCCAGAGACTTTGCCAGATCTCATCACTACATCTCACACTGGACCTAATTCTCAATGCATTGGATTGGTAACGCTAGGGTAATGCTTGCGACTGGTTCATCACCCCTCCCAGGCCTGGCTCAGGGTAAATGCTCATCCCTCACAGCTTAGAACTGGGATACTGGTCTAAGCATGGGGATTCTCATTCTCACCTCTTAGAGGACTCAGAACTTAGATTCTTGGTGGGGGTAATTCTTTCCCGGGGGACACACTGTGAAAGGACCCTCTTTGCTTAATCCATGGGTTCCAAATTTCAACTCCCCTCTGGCCTGCCTCTTGGAAGACTTGTGCAAGCTGGGCCTGAAGGGGGAGGAAAAGTGGAGATGATTAATCCATCTCTGCACCAAAATTTGGCCTCAGTATAAATTGGACAATGATTCTAATTTGGCATTTTCATCTCAAAATTCTCTACGACTTTAATAACTTTACATAGAGAAATGGCAAATGGTCAGAGGTCCCCTCTTCCAGGCCTCTTTCCTCCTCCAGGGTCAACTTGCCACACTCCAAGCTCTCATGGAGGAAGAGGGCCTGGAGCCTCCCCTTAAGTCTTCTACCTCCCCACCTCTCCCTTCCCGCTCCTCTCTTGAGAAGCCGGCATCCCAGGAACACACAGCCCTCCACTTAGTCCTCTTCCCTCTGGCCAGTGGCAGCAGGGGCAGTTGCCACCCCCATTCTCCCCTGAACTCTCTTTATCCTGTTCTCCCCAAGGAAGAAAAACCTCCCTGTCGGACCCCCACCCCCCGCTCCGGGTGATACTGACTTTCCCGAGCCTCTCTCTGGTGAGTCCTCTCTGGCAGACACATGTGATTCCCCTACATCTATGCCTTCGTCCTCCTCTGAGGTCAGCTTTCCTCATTCCAAGGCCCCGGGCAGGAGAAAGGCTTGAAGCTTCTTCCAGACTTTCCCTTCTTCCACTCTTGATCTTCTCTCAGGAATGCTCACCCTGCCCACTGTCTGGCTCTTCCCCATTCCCCCGCCTCTCGCAGCCAAAATCGCCTCTCTCCTCTTCCTGACGCCTCCGCTGTCCCGCCATTCTCTTCTGCTTGGCGCAGGATAGTGTAAAGGCTAGCAGAATGCTTACTGCTCTGGAAAGTCCCCGACCTCGGACATTCCGAACACCGTAAACTTCACCTGGGAGTCGTTCTCACATCTTCCGCCCACCTTTCCGGGTCCATGAGGTGCTCTGCGCCTCCAGAAAGGACTCTGCTGTTTTAACTCAAGGAAGCCTGGCTGCAACACCCCCACCCCCACCCCACCCCTGCTGGGGAGAGCTCAGCCCTACTCTTCCTCTACCCCGTCTCATTCCGTCTTCCCTAAAATAAAGTCTTTTTTAACGAGCCACCACCTCTTCTACAAACACTAAAATCCTAAAACCTAACATAATGGAGCCACATCTTGTATGAAGATGAAACCTCTGTTCCAGCCATCTCTAGTATTGTATTTGGCAGGGCTAGCAAAAAAAAAAAAAAAAAAAAAAAAAAAAAAAAAAAAAAAAAAAAGCACACAAGCAACCAAAGTCCAGAGCAGTGTTAAGTCCTGAGCAACTTCGCCCCAAAAATATTCTCCATGCCCAGCCTCCCTCTAGCTTTCCCCTCCTTTTCCAGTGGCAGCCAAGATCTCTGCTAATAACTGAAACTGTTCTGTTGTTCTCTCTCCTGTAATGTGTTATACGTGTATACATAGTGTATGGCTACATGGGAGAATTCTGTTTTAATTGAATTACACTTGTGTTAGATATTAAAGAAATATAAAAATATTCAAGAAATATAAAGGAAACTTTTGGAAGGCATTGGACCTTTTGGTAAATGTTTTTGTAAGTTATTTGACAGCTAAAATTCTTTACTAAGTTTTCACTTGTTGTTAAGCTATTGACAGCAGGCAATCTGGGAAGCCTGACTTGTCCCCTCATTTCTCCTCCATTCTCTTCAAGATGGAAAACTGATTCTATTCCGTAGGACTCTCCAAACGGATGTATAGTTTGATCTTTAGACCTTATATAACACAGTTTGGATAAGGTAGTCTTAATGTTTGGTCTTACACAGAAGGACACAGCTTTTCTCATGAGCACAATCTTATCTCATAGGAAGAATATTGTCATAACATGCCTATGACCACAGATTTCCAGCCCAGGCCACCAAAGATTAGGGATGAGATTGAGCGCCCCCTTGGCTGACATTCCTAAAGGGTTTCTCTGTGTTCTATGGTAACAGAGACCAGCAGAAAGAGGAGGCAGCAAAAGCAATGTAAGAATAGGTAGAGGCCAATTAATGGATGCCTTACATGATGATCTGCCATCAAGGAGACCCAACAAGGCCAGTCCACCCCCAAACGGCACCTGTTTTCAATATGAGGAGTCAGGGCATTGGGCAAGCAGCTGTCAGCTCTGCCAAGAGCCAGGCCACTGGAAACAGAACTGCCCTAGGGGTTGAAAGACTCCGGGGTCAGAACTGCAAACCCTATTGGCCCCACGCTAAAAAGTCCCTCACTCTGCCCAGCTTCCAGAGAAATCACCATCGTGGTGGGGGGCAGCCTAAGGTCAGTAACAATCCAGGCAGGGCTGTAGATTTGCTTTTAGAGATCCGCCTATGGAATACTGACCTCCTATTCAGGCCAGCCCTCCTCCAGGCCAGTTAGGCAGTGGAAGTCACCAGGGTATCTTCCCTAAGGAGGTTAACATCTCTCTTATGATGTCTCTTCCAGCACCCCATTTGAAGAGATAGGTCTGGACCTCATATATACCTGGCCAGGCCTTAACGCCCACCTGATTATTATCAAGCCCCTCCTCTCAGTTTCTGTTTGCCTCTCAATGAGAAAAGTCCCTCTTGGTTTAGACAGCACCTTTCTTAGATTCTCTAATGGTCTGTCCTTTGCTTTATACTCTGTGTATTTATTCTGCTTGTTAGATTCATTTGCTCCAGAAAATAAAATTCTAGATGGTCATGCACATGAAACCATGGTCCAGCAGGTGGCCTGTTGAGAGGGCTGCAGGACTAGCTCACAGAAACACCTCCATTCCTGGTTTCATGGGTCCAGCGGGTGGCCTTGGGTCTTGACCATGGGTCCCTACTCTGCCCCTGCTCAGCTTCAGTCCTTGTCCAAACCCCTGACAACAGCCAGGGCTTCCAAAAGCAGAGGGAGCAGGACTAGAAGTAGGCCAAACTAACTCCATCCCACATCTCCTTGACAGCATGTGCACACTAAACACAACACACACACACACACACAACACCAGGGGAGCAGTGAGGAGAGAGCGAGGGAGGCAGGGAAGGAGAGGATGGGGAAGAGAGAGAGGAGGAAGGAGGGAGAAAGGGAGAGAAAGAGAATAGGACCCTTGCTATTTAGGTAGCTGCTATATCTATGATATGCTCGACTCTGTTACAGTGTCTTGTACATGTTAGGTGTCCTAATATTTACTAAATGAATAAGTGAGTTTGTAAAGTACTTAGCACACTCCAGCCCACACACTTTAGGTTCTTCCCTCTTTTTATGTAAAAATCAAAGGGTTAAACATGTGCCTGTGTGAGTCCTATCAAACGGCAACATTTCAACAAAATGAATTCATCATTCAAATGCTGATCACACATTTATAAATATAGAACAAATATGGTAATTTACTTCAATGTGTGACAAGAACATCCTCCATCTTAATGTTCTATTTTAAGTACAAATCAATATGCCACTTGTTGAAGCATTCATATATTTTATCATCATCAGAATATGAGAAATTAACATGATGATTCCTTCAACCTTTGAGAGGGAAAGTTTTGCTTAGTGGCCTTTTACTTATTTTACTTATGAGGAAACAAGAGGTCAGAGAGTGGGAATATTGGACCCGTTCAAACAGTTAGACACAGACAATATTACTTTCCATTTCACCTCATTTTTATTTTTTTTACTTTTTTTATTTTTATTTTTTTGACAGAGTGGACAGTGAGAGAGAGAGAGGGAGAAAGGTCTTCCTTTGCCGTTGGTCCATTTCACCTCATTTACAGCAAAAAGGCAATCCTCCTTCATACTGAAGACTGGCGATCAAAAGACAGAAATCACTAAATGATATAATAGGATGCAGAAACTGAGGACATGATTGCCATTTAGAGTGCTTATGAGATCAAGTGCGGCAAAGAACGTAAACAGCTGAGCTTAACAGAAGCTTAGGGAGTTTTATTTATCACTCTAACGATGCAGCGACTCTGGTTGTGATTCTACATCACCATTGCATGGTTCATAAATCAAACTGCTACGACAAAACAAGATCTTCCCACATTCTGCTCTCATTAGCAAAGAAGACTTGATCCTCTTTTCCTGGTCCAACTACAAACTGCTGTGGCTGGTTTTATCAGCCCACTCACCACTGTGGCTCAGCAGAAACATCCTATATCTCAAGGCAATAACACTTTGGATTTCCAAATCCAAACCCAGGTGGCACATTCCATTCTACAATTTTCCAACTGGCACCCATTCAGGGGGAGATATTATTCACCAGAATAGGCACAAACTACTGAATTCTGGCAGGCTATAAGGAAAACTGGCAGTTTCTTGGAAGAGCCATGCCCTGGGTTCCCAAGACATTCTCAAGTTTAGCAACAACTACCTAGGTTCCAAATGGAGAAATGGCCCTTAGATACTACCTTCTAATTTTTACAGTCAAGGAAATTGAGACGTAAAGAAGAAAAATGGCCCAAGAACACAGTGCCAAGGCTGATGCCTTCCCAATCTAATGGGCTCTTCATTATACAAAGTCCAGCCCAGAGTGGGAAGCTCATGCCTCAGAAGAGAAGCGCACAAACACATGGTGCTGTTTTGGCTTTCCTCTCCTTGGTGAACTTGCTTATCCTTTTAACAACCTCTAATCACCCACTGGAATACTCCTGACCTTCAACAACCTCTAAAACACAGCTTTAAAACCCAATTCAAACTGATCAGCCTGGTGTTTAGACACATTCCTTTGAAAAGTTGTTTTTTATTATTAATGCTATTATAATGAAACATTCTATAAATTATTTTTAAAATTTTATTTGAAAGGCAGAGTCATAAAGAGAGAGACAGAGACAGAGATAGAGATTGAGATTGAGAGATCTTCCATGTGCTGGTTCACTCTCCAGATGGCTGCAATGGCCAGGGCTGGGCCAGGCTGAAACCAGGAGCCAGGAGCTTTATCCACATCTCCAAACACTTGGGCCATCCCTTACTGTTTTCCCAAACCATTAGCAACGAGCTAGATCCGAAGTAGAGCAGCCAGGACGTGAACTGCTGTCCATATGGGATGGTCAGTGCCACAGGTGCAGGCTTTTCCATTATGCCACAACACTGGACCCTAAATAAATCTTTTAAAACACTATAATCCTCATAAACTTAATCAACAAAAATCCAATATTTGTACCTATTATTTGTCTAGTTGTATACAAGGCATTGGGTAAGGGAAAGGAAAAGGAAAAACCTCAAACAGCTTTAACACAAAGAATAAAAATAAAATAGTGCTACCAAAAGTATATTATTTATCCAGAGTATGAGGACCAGAATTTCATTAACTACAATAAATTTAATAGTATCTAATATTTATTAAGTTCTTTATAATAATTAAATTGTGCTATGTACTTTATACACCTTATTCAATTAATCCTCGTATCAGTCATATAAGGTAGTTAGTATTATCTCTCAATTTTACAGTTAATTAATGTACAGGGAGATCAAGTAAGTTATTCAAGGTTATACAACCCATGGGTGGGAGATTCAGGATTCAAAATCAGACAGTCTCCAGAGCAGATCCTCTAAAAGTACATCTCTTTTCACTACTTCTAAAATATGGCATCCATTAAAAAGTCTCACAGCTTACCAATAATTTTCTAAATTATTTGATTTCACATATGCTTTTCTATTATATTTAACTTTTGAAATTTAAGAAATTTTTGTAATAAAAAGCAGCTGGATGCAACAATTTCTAATCCCATTTTAAAACAAATAGCTTCTAAGGAAGTCTGCTTTTTTGCTATAAAATACAGCTCAAAAATTGATCAGCCAGTAGTATAGATCCACACTCCAAATCCAAAGGAAGACAGACCTATGACTATGAATTCTCAAAGGAGAATTTTTTTTTTCTATCCAGAGCACAGGCTGAGATAAACAATTTTCTTCTGTCTATGTATCAACATGTGTATTCACTTGCAGGTCTCAGCTTTAACGCCTTGTCTTGTGAAGACTGAAGTCATCACCTCCTTTTGCTGTACGGATATTAGAATTCAAGCCCCAAGGTTACCAACAAAGGTTTCCCAGGAGGCCTGTTATAACAAATAGCCTCACACTGGCTTGCTACTCATTCTGTCTTTGGGCCTCTGGAGATTCCGTTACTTTATTTTCAGGTTAGCTATGTATTGTAAAGGATGTTGTTATTCCGTATTCAGAGTTGTTAAGAGTTTAGTGGTGGGGGATTTTTAAATTACTGGGTTGAAATTACTGCTGGGAACAGAAGTAGGATTGTCCTCTTTTCTGAGGTTTACAAAAGAAATTCAAAAGGATACTTCAATTCAACATTGATTGGTCACTTGCTGTGATTAGTGAATTTTAAGTATCAATTTGGGGAGGCTATGGTTCCAGTTGTTTGGTCAAACACTAGTCTGGGTGTTGCTGTGAAGGTATTTTTTAAGATGTGATTAACATCTACAATCGGTTGACTGCAAGTAAGGAAGATTACCACGGAAAACATCTGTGATCTTAATCTAATCCGTTGAAGGCCTTATGAGGAAAAAGTGGAGTTTCCCAGAGAAGAAGAAATTCTGCCATAAGACCTCAATAGAAGTCCCAGCCCGCTGGCTGGCCCTACAGATTTCAGACTCAAGTCTGCAACATCAGATAAGCCCATCTTTCTAGTCTATAACTTGCCCTACATATTTTGGACTAGTCAATTCCCACAATCACAGGAGCTAATTCCTTAAATAAAATCCTATCTATCCATCCATCCATCCATCCATCCACCAATCCCAGCGTGTGTGTTTCTGGGGAGAACTGTGACTAATGAACTTGCTATGAATAAGGCCTTCTAGGGGGCAAAAAGATGATTAAGATGCAATCACCCTCCCTGTTCTCACAGGGCTTGTACTCTAGCAGTAGATAAATAGCTATAAAAAGAGGAATATAACTCAAGACATTATAACAATTCAAAAATTATTTATTCGCTCTTTCCACAATATTTATGAAAGCACCCATCTGCCATGAGTAAAACGCTGCAGGATGTTAGAAAGACAAAGCATCGATTAAGCCTCTTGGAAAACTGTCTAGTGTGGGACTCAAACACAAACAGATAAAATACAGTAATAAGTAAAAAGGTATAATCTATATGAAAGGAGCCTAATCCAGCCTGGAAGGGGTCAGGAAGATACGCTGGAAGAAATCTGGGCAAATGGACAGCATAAGCAAGGGAGGACATGGTGCAAAGTTGTCGTACATAAACTATGAAGCAGGGAATGATAACAGACGAGGCTAAGCAGCTATGATTCTTCAACAGAGGGAGACGACACAAAGTTGGAAATTAAGAAAGGCTTATTGACAAAAGCGGCTTTTAAGTATGATCTGGAAGGATGAGTGCGATCTTAATAAGCAGAGGTGAGGAAGAAGGGGTGGAAAACACAGTACCTTGGGAGAAAACACAGCATACATGAAGCAGACAGTGGGAAATAAGAATGCAGAGGTAGGCTATGGCCGGCTCACACAGAGCTCTGGATGATGGATGACTCTCAGAGTTGAGGCTGCGACGTATTCCCTCAGGTAAGTGGCTAGAGGCCGCTGAAACACAGAAGCTAATGAGGAAATTGCGGTTACAAACACCTACCACCTCCAAGGGCTTGGAAGCCCTGAAAAACACACCTGGCCGTGGCATTTGGCTTGCTGTGAAAGACACAGCCAGACTGGCCAAGGCACAGGAAACATCTGTGCCACCATGACCTGCCTGAATCCGCTCTCTCCCTATCCTTCTTGGCACCACAAAAACTGGGAACAGAACAAAGGCTAAGGCAAGCCCCAGCCTGGGCCCCAGGGAAAAACAATAACACGAGGGGGCCAACCTGGTTTTCTAGCGGGGAAGCAGAGGTGGACCCTGTCAGATCTCAACAAGGAGAACACAATAAAAGACTTATTGTTACTGTTCCCTCCACCCTTAGGAAATGAAGTTCTAAACAGTAAGTTGTGGTTAACAGAGCACTGGCCTGGAAAGGAAACCTGCATTCCAGTCCAGGTCCGTTGCTAGCTTGCTGTGTGCATTAGGCGCGTTGTTCTTAAAGTCTTCTGTTATTCCACTTGTGCTGGGTGGGAGCTGAACTAGAACAGTGGTCCTCAAACCATGTTCTGTGGAGCCCCAGAGTATTTCTGGGGACCTGCAGCACCATTTCAACCAAAGACATTCCATCTTTTCCTAGTTATATTATAAGGCTCTGTCTAAAGATTTGTTCAAAAAGCAAACACTATGAAAACCCCGGCATGTGAACCTCTAAGGTAATTCTTCTATGACTTTGTGGTTTCATGATAAGTTGCTATTATAAGCACTCAACTTGAAGTCAATAGGAGTTGACTGCATAAAAAACTCAGTGTGAAGGAAGGTCCAGACAGACAGGGTAAAGCCAGATATCTTGGAGAGAAGAGAGGAAACGAACCTGAGCAAACTCCAGGAATCACAACACAGGCAGATACGGAGACAAGCCTCCAAACAGACTCCAACGGCTTCCGCACCTGCGTTCAATCAGACAACCCGAAAGGACAAGGAATCTCTGGAAAAAACCCCACGCAGTGGATCTAAAATTCTAGCTGTAAGTTTTTCTACAAGTAGTTAAAACTACAAATAAAAGTTTCTTGTATGTGCAATAGCCTAATGCTATGGCAAAGCTATTGTTGGAGAAAAAGGTGAAAAAACAATTACTAATGAGGGGAAAAGGAGCTAGTGAGGTGTGTAGGAGAAGCTTACTTATTTATATATATAAAAAAAGCTGGGGACTGGTTGCTAGAACTGCAGAAAGGTTTAAAGTGCTTTCCTCATTCTCAAGGAGCACAAAACAAAGAAGAGACAAACAAGTAAAGCAAGAGGGAAGCTCACTTCAAAAGAGCGGGAAGTCCACAGAGAAGGAACAGCACCGGGAACGGGAACATGAGCTGATGTCAAATAGTAACCGCAAGTTTTGTGTTTTACCTGACCGAACAAGGATACCTGGCTCTAGGCATCAAAGAAACCTGCCTCTCCAGGGACTAATGAAACGGAGAACTGGCAGATCCACTAAAGGAAAACAGGACAAGAAAGAAGGTACGAGAGAACAAAAAGAGGGGAGAATGGATGTTGCAGAAGGCTGCATTTTCTAATACAGCAGCCTCAAGCCACAGGTGGCTACTAAGCACCTGAAAAGTGGGCGTGCAAATGAGATGTTCTGCTTTGAAGACATACTATGAAAAAAAGAACAAATTTTAATAATTTTTTCCACTGATTCCATGTTGAAATGGGAATATCATGGACATAGTGTGGTAAATAAAATCTATTAATAATTTGGCCTGTGTCCTTTGACTTTTTTTTAACCATGGCTACCAGAAAATTCAAAATTTCATACTTACAATTAAAATTATATTTTTATTGTACAGTTTTGTCTTAAACCTTTTCTAAGTCCAATGAATCAGGTGACAATACATTTCTATAACCAATATCCTTAGGATAAAATCCAGAGCCATAAGCTTACTCACACTCTACCAAAACAGAATTTATATGAGGCCAACAGCATATCAGAGACTTAACAGTCTTGTAGCAGACAAGGTCAATGAAAGGAGAGAAAAGCTAAGTAACTTGTTCCACTTTGTGTCAGAGCTACAAATGGCTGTTTCATCACAAGCATGGAGGGCTACGAGCAAGCTTTTTCATCTGTGGGATGGGGTGAGATCACTCTCTCCCTGTGCTCATATTTTAATTTGTGTTTTCCAAAGTTTCTTGCATACCATACCACGGGATACTCATGATGTCCTGGAGAGTCAGGCAGGTTCAAGGTCATTATCCCCATTTTACAGACGAGTAAACTAGAGAAAAAAGAGGTCTCTTTGTGGACAGAAAACCAGGTTCTGGAACTCAGGTTTTCAACTGTAAGGCCCTGTTCTTGCCATTGCTGTATGCACACTGCACAAATACTACTTGTCTGAAATTTTTCTGCTTTTGTTTTTTATTTAGTTTTTACTGTATTTATCCCATTTCCCTAATCAGACTAAGTTCTTTGAGTGCAATGTATATATCATAGCTATCTCTCTGAACAACAATACCATCCAATACTCTGCCTGTAACAGGAACTCAGGATTAAGACTAAATAGAGGGACCTGTGCTGTGGCATAGCAGGTCAGGCCATTGCCTGCAGTGCCAGCATCCCATAGGGGCGCCAGTTCAAGTCCTAGCTGTTCCACTTCTGATCCAGTTCTCTGCTTATGGCCTGGGAAAATGGTGGAAGATGGCCCAAGTCCTTGGGCCCCTGCACCCATGTGGGAGACCGAGAAGCTTCTGGCTCCTGGCTTCAGATCGGCACAGCTCTGGACCACTGCAGCCATCTAGGGAGTGAACCAGTGGATGGAAGACCTCTCTCTCTCTCTGCCTTTCAAATATATATATATATATATATATATATGTGTGTGTGTGTGTGTGTGTGTGTATATATGTATGTATGTATGTATAAAGACTAAATAGAGGGGCTGGCACTGTGGCAAAGAAGGTTAAGCCACAGCCTGCAGCACTGGCATCCTTATGGGATGCCCAGCTGCTCCACTTCTGATCTAGCTCCCTGTTAATACACCTAGAAAAGTAGCAGAAGATGACCCAAGTCCCTGGGCCCCTGCCACCAACATGGGAGACCCAAAAGAAGCTCCTGGCTCATAGCTTTGATCTGTACAGCTATAACTGTTATGGCCATTTGGGGAATGAACCAGTGGATGGGAGATCTCAGTCTCTCTCTCTCGATCTCTCTGTAACTTTGCCTTTCAAATAAATAAGTAAATAACTAAATAAATCTTGTTAAAAAGACTGAGCAGAGTGTGGCACAGAGGACAAGACAGAAAGATTAGGAATTCCCAATTTCTGATTCACTCCAGGAAGCCTGCCTCCTGTCTCTGGGGAAGCTGCCACCAATTCCAGGGCAGAAAGTTCTCTCTTTTCCCAGAATGGCAAAGAGCAAAAACCATAGAGCTAACGGGAGAGAATTTTAAACCTGACAACTCACAATGCAACCTCGAGGCAGAATTTCTAGCAGCTTATATAACGACTCTGGCACTACCCACTCGTATCATCCAGAGTGCTGCTTCTGTTCTCAATGTCATTTGGTAAAGCAGGCTGGTATAGAGCGAGTTCTCGGGCTCCCAGAGCCTTTAAAGACAATGAATGGTGAGATTTCACCCTGGCCAGCATGAGTGGTACAAAGTCTAGAGCAGTTAATCTAAGTAATTTCCAGCATTTCTTTAAAGATTTTGAAACCAGTTTTAAACAAGACAGGATATTTCTTTTCCTAAGGATTACAGCTTGGTAATGTACAAATAGGGAACAAATCTATCTCAACATCGAATCCAAAGAATCCAGCAAAGTTGTCACTCCATAAACACACACTAAATGACTCAGTAGTCATTACTGGAATAAATTGCCTTGTAGTTTTCTCTGGGAATAAAAACTGTATCCAGGGGGCCTGGCACAGTGGAGCAGCAGGTTAAAGCCCCAGCCTGCAGCTCTGGTGTCCCATATGGGTGCTGGTTCAAGTCCTGGCTGCTCCACTTCTGATTCAGCTCCCTGCTAGTACACCTGGGACAGCAGCGGGGGATGGCCCTAGTCCTTGGGCCCCTGCACCAATGTGGGAAACCCACTATGGCCATTTGGAGAGTGAAGTGGATGAAAGATCTCTGTTTCTCCCTCTCTAACTCTTTCAAATAAATAAATAAAAACTGTATCCAATGATCCTACATTTAATGTTTTATGAGTCAGGAGATACTACAGTGATGCTAAATCTCAAGTCTTTTCACACCTCCATGAAGGTGGGGAAACAGGCATGGAGTTACAAGCAACTGTGCTGATTTTACATAACTTCCACTCAACAGTTCTACGGAAAATTCCTGGGTGTCATTGATCCTGCAATGACCTCTGTTTCTTCTTGAGGTTAAACTTCAATCAAGAAGATCTAGAGTTAACAGCGACTTTTGTAATCAACAAGAGGGAACCCTCTAAAATACCAGGAACTCCTCTGAGAATCTTTCGTGTGGAAAGGATTGCTATCGCTTAACGCCTCTTCTTATCTTTCTCCACAAAACGTGCAAAGCTTGCTCTGGATCCCGAGGTCATGCAAGGCTAGAAAAGGGTTGTGAGAATGGTAACTGCTGAAGTCAAAACTAACAGAGTGGACATCTGGCCACGCAGAGGAAACAGCTCTACACTTAGCACCAGATCAGGAACCAATCACAAAACCAGGATCTGCTCCTCCCGCCCCACTACTATTTCACCGTTCTCTCTCATTATATTCAGAAGCTACCTCTTTCACTTTTCCCTCGTTCTGTTTCCTTCTCCCAGTCTTGTTCTGGTTATGCTCCTCCTTTCCACACCAGCAAGCTGAAACACAGCACCCTCGTAAGCCACCTCAGAATCAAGAAGAGCAGTGCTGTGGTGTAGTAAATGAAGCATCCACCTGTGGCACCAGCATTCCACACAGAGTGCCTCCTGCTCCACTTCCGACCCAGCTCCCTGCTGATGGCCTGGGAAGGCAGAAGATGGTCCAAGAGCTTGGGCCCTTGCACCCATGTGGGAGACCTGGAAGAACCCCTGGCTTCAGATTGGCCCAGTTGCAGCCATTGGGGGAGGGGGGTGAACCAGCAGAGGGAAGACCTCTCTCTGTCTCTCCTTCTGTCTGTCTGTAACTCTGCCTCTCAAAATAAATGAATAAATCTTAAAAAACAAACAAGAACAGAAATCTGATGAAAGGAGTTTTCCATTTCCTTTCCCCAGGAATTCCACAAGACTCACAGTTTTTCCTGTCTGGGAGCTATGCATTCATTACAGTCAGGCTTCAATTTATCTAGGCCACCGCCCCCAAAGAGCTGACATGTAGCCCCACGAATCAGCTGATGAGCTCAGTACATCTTTTTCTGGGCTATCATTAACCCTCTGATCCTGACTCAGTGACTCACTCGGGGCTCTGACACTCTTGGCTGAGAAACGCTTGATTAAAAGGACAGGCATTTACCCAAAATGAAGGGGGAAAAAATCTCAATGTGATTCTTTTAAAAAGTTAATGAATACCTATTGTATGCTAGGAGGCACAAAGCTAGGGGATGGCATATAGAGATGAGCAAGTCCAGACCCTGCTGTGTGGAAGCTAACTATTACCCAGTTGATCAGAAATCCAAATGCCTACTATGTGCTATATATGGTACCAAGGGCTAGAGAAAAAGGAATTCTCTTTTGGGGAATAAGACAGTAACCCCAAAACAAAATCTCCCTTCCAAATGTAAAATCAGACCACCAGCCAGAACCCTGTGGGATTTAAGGTCGTATATAAGTCAGACCTGGAGTTCCCTCACCTTTTCTCAGGAACTGGCTGTTTAAAAAGGACCTTTGAGTAGGTTATTAAATACAGACTGAATAAAGGATGACAGGGGATTCCTGAACCCTAAAGGGTTTCATCCGACATGTGGCACAGAAATTCATGCTTTTCATAGCAGGAGGGTGGTTGGTGCTTTTTTAGGTAAAGTAGTAAAAAAAATCTAAAGATAGGAGGATTTGGCCAGCACTGTGGTGCAGTGGGTTAAGGTTCTGCCTGTGACCTGTGACGTCAGCATCCCATATGGGTGCCAATTTGAGTCCTGGCTGCTCCACTTCCGATGCACATCTCTGCTAATGTGCCTGAGAAAACGCAGAAGATGGCCCAAGTGCTTGGGCCCTTGCCACCCACGTGGGAGACCTGGATAAACCTCCTGGATCCTGGCTTCAGCTTGGCCCAGTCCCAGCCGTTGCAGCCATTTGAAGAGTGAATTAGTGAATGTGAGACCTTTCTCTGGGTTTCTCCCTCTCTGTACTCTGCCTTTCAAATAAATAAATAAATCTTAAAAACAAATAAACAAACAAAAAGATATGAGAGTTGAAACCATTCTTATGCAGTAACTGAGACTGAGCTGTATTCTCTCTTCCCCCTAAAACTGATTTGACCTCCAGGGCTGGGTTCTAAAGTAGTGGCTTGCCACACAGCAGGGCTCCAGTGGTGAAATATATCCTAGACTTCCAAAACTCCACCAGATTGTCTTCTAGGTCCTAAAGAGCAGCATTATGATAAGGTGGAATAGGGAGCTCTGGATCCTAGTTCTGGTCCAAGAAATTAGCAGCTGTTAAATACCAATAGGCACAAGCCCTGACCAGGCTGAGTATACTCTACAAAAGCAAGTTTTCTTCTTCCCGATCGAGTTTTCAATCTGCAGAAGTGCCCTTGTTCACATGAAAACCGGATCTTTTTTCTGGCCGTGGGGGGTGGGAGTGGGGGTGGGAATGGAAAAGATGAAATCATTCCAGGATAACAATACACTTTTCCAACAGAAAGAGTAATTAGGGATAAAACTGAGGACAGAGGGACAAGTTTCTTGAGGACAAACCCTGTGCAATGGAACAGAGGAAGTCACAGGCTAACAGAGGAGTTAGGAGTTCCTAGAAGGTAACATGCTGGCTTGGCCTGGATGAATGCTGTCTGCTGTACTCGTCCTACCCAGCATTTGCCTCTATCTCCCATTACACCCACCGTAGGAAGCTATGGAGAAGGTGAGTGTAAGAGAAACTAGTCAGTACCTAAATTTTAGTTTTCTTCCCCTTCAATAATCTTATTATGGAAAATCTCAAACATCCAGCAAATCTGGGACTTGAAAGGATTTTACAAAGAACCCACCACTTGGATTCTATTATTAACATTAAAACACTACACAAAAATTGGCTCAAAATGGAACAAAGACCAAAGGGTCAAACTATCAAACTGACAGAAGAAAACACGGGGTACATTTTCATGAAACTTGAACTAGGCAATGATTGCTTAGATATACACTAAAAGCACAAATAACCAAAGAAGAAAATTAGACTTCATCCAGAAAACATATTTTGTGCATAAAAGGATATTATCAAAAGAGTGAAAAGAAAGCCCATAGAATGGGAGAAAATACTTGGAAATCAAGTATATGATAAGTGTCTTAGTTCCAGAAATACATGAAGAACGCTTACAAGTCAACAATAAAAACACAAATAACCCAATTTTGAAAGAGGCAAAGTCCTTACACAGACATTTCTTCAAATAACGTGTGCAAATGGCCAAAAAGTACACAGAAAGATGCTTAACATCATTAGTCATTAGGGGAAGGCAATCAGAACTCCAATGAGGTGTATCACTTCATACCCACAGCGAAATGTCTACAGACAAATCATTCAAACCAAAGGAAGTGTTGGCAAGCTTGTGAGGAAATGCAAACCCATACACTGGTGGAAGAATGTAAAATGGTACAGTACTGTGGCAACAGCAGAAAACAGTCCGGCAGTTTCTCAAAAGGTTAATTATAGAGTTACATATGTCCCACTAATTCTCTTTCTTGGTATATACCCAGAAGAACTGAAAACAGATGCTCAAACAAAAAATAATATATTTAAAAATATATATTATATATTAAGTAATATATAATATGAATTTAAAATCCAGATTAAATCCAGAAATAGAAGGCAGATTAAGGGGCTGGCAGGGCGGGGGAGGGGACATGGAGAATGAACGCTGAATGTGCCAAGAGCTTCCTCTTGGGGTGATGGAAACGTGCTGGAGCTAGAGTGGGGTGGCTGCACAACACTGTGAACATATTAAATGCCGCTGAGCTGTACACTTTAAAACTCTCTGGAATAACTTTATGTTCTACGAATCATATTTTAATTTTTTAAAAAATTAAATACAACCAGCCTCCCTGAAAAGTCATTTTCATTCAAAGGGTTTTTTTCTTCCTTTTAAAAACAGGTTTAACATCAAACAATTACAAATATTATGGAGTGGAATGCAGGCTTTATATGTATTCAAAAATTAAAATATAAGGCTTAAAATATTTCAAGTTAAGGCCAGGGTCATAAATATACTCCCTTCTTAGGAATACTCTGGTGGAGAAAAAGTACTACAGAAAGATGTTAACGCATAGAAAAAGGATGGTGATCTTGGCCATAATCATTCCTAGAGATTGGAACAGAGAGGGTGAAATGCTTCTTCAGGATAACACAGACAAGATCATAACCTCTGAACTTAGAACTTGCACAAAGTCCTCTGCACAGAAAAACCTTGTCACTCAGAAGAGCACTACAGAATCTCTTGATAGTTCTTCAATCCACTTAAGGCCCAGTTTAGGTCTCACATACTCTAGAAAGTCCACCTGTTCATCATAGTCCACGATGATCTTTCTTCTCTGGACTGCCATAGCATTTACTATTTGTGCCACAGCATATACCATATACCAACTTGATACAACTTAACTCTTAAAGCATTTACTTACTTGTTTTCATTTATTTATTTCAGAGGGAGACTATGCACACTCACATCCACTAGTTCACACTCCCCAAATGCCTTATTAAGGCTAGAATTGACCAGGTTGAAACCAGGAGCCAGAAACCTGAATTGGGTCTCCCGCATGGTGGCAGAAACCCAATTACCTGATCCTTCCCCTGGCGCCTCCCAGGGTATGTCTTAGCAGAAGCTGGCATTAGGAGCACAGCCAGAACTTGAACTCAGGCACTATGATACGGGATACGGGTATCCCAACTGGCTGTTTGACTCGCGAGGCCAAACAACTGCCCCAGCAATCATTTCTTAAAAAGCGCATTGCAAAATATCCATGCAAGCAGCTGAAACACAGTGTAACGAGTTTTCAATTTAAGGCAGAAGAAACTGGTTTCTGTTTCCGTCTACTCTTCCTTAGTGGTATGCTGTGCTCCTGGCTGAAAATTTTCTTCTTTTTCAGCTTTAGAGCTCTCATCTACAGAACACAAGGGTACTTCAGAAAGTTTGTGGAAAAATGGTATAAAAAACTAAGTTTGTTTTAGTGTAAAAAAAATCTTAAAATCCATGTGTACATTTTTATAATATGTCTTTTCCATTAACTTTGTAAAAAAAGATTTATTTCTTTGAAAGGCAGAGTTAGAGAGAGAGAGAGAGAGAGAGAGAGAGAGAGAGAAAGGGATCCATATACTGGCTCATTCCCCAAATGGCTGCTGTGACTGGTTCTGGGCCAGTCTGAAGACAGAGCCTCATCTGGGTCTCCCATGTGGGTGGCAGGGACCCAAACACTTGAGCCATTTTTACTTTTTTTCCCAGGCACATTAGCAAACAGCTGGATGGGAAATGGAGCAGCTGAGACACAATCTAGCACCCATACAGGATGCTGGCAGTAGCTTAATCTGCTACGCCACAACACCGCCCGCTCCATTAACTTTTTGAAGATCTCAAGTATGTACAGTGATTAACAAAGACTATACAGGTCACCGTGATGACCAAAAGCTAAGTCCATGCAATTGTTCGAAAGCATGGCCTGTATGTCTGTGTTCGCCAAAGTTGCAAGCTTGGTCTGAGCATAGGACAGCCGCCTCCAAATTGTGAACTTAATTAAAACCAAATCTAAGTAGCCCATGTCACAATTCAGTTGGCAGGGGTGGTTAAACCATGCTAAAAAAGGACATAAGATGAATTAGCTGAATCTTAGTGTGAAGTTGTCAGGAACGGCCTCAAAGAGAATAGAGCCGAGATGATGGTAACGTATTTTTGCTGGAATATAAGAAGGAAGTATGCGAAGTGTTGCATTCATTAAGTCCTCAGTGTGAATGCCAATTCTCTTTTCATCTTTCCTCTGTTTTTCCATTTTTAAATGGAAATCATTATAATGGAGTTATGGTCTATACATACTTAGCATAGCACCTGGCACATTGTGACAATAAATGTTAGCTGTCCTTTTTATTGTTGCCATCATCTAATCCTTTCTTTTTTATATTAAAGCAAAAACATGCTTACTGGATTTCTGATGTTACCTAGTTAGCGTAAACGTTTCAAAGAAAAAGAGAAGGTAAGAGAGTTCCTCAATCATATCCCACAGGCAGTCTAATGGAATTGGTTAACACGCAGATACTCCACAAAGTTCATGGAAAACACAATTAAAAGATAAGTTTATTTTGATACAAAATTTCTTAAAAAAATCTATAGTTTTTTCATATTACACATTTCCAATTCATTTTTGAAGTCCCCTTGTATAATAAATAACCATACTTCAATTTATATAATCTTCATAATCCTGAAATAGGTAAATAGGTGGTAATATACTTAGTTTAGAGGTCAGATAACAAGTCTGGAGAGTAAACGCCTTTCCAAGATGACGAAGCTCAAAATCAAGAATACTGATGACGTCAAAGGCCGGGCTACCTCCACCGCTGTGTCTATCAGCTGTGTCTCCTGTACCTACTTCTGTTTCTCGCCCCACACTTCTCCATGTTCCAGACCTCCAACCATGTTCCTATTCTGGGTCCAGTCCATCTCAATTTCCTATAAAATATTTCCTTAAAATGATATCTGATAACAGAACGTTCTGGTACAAAGACGCACGAGTGGGCAGACGTTTGCTGCAGTGAAGTCACTGGGTTCCCCCATCCCATACTGGAGTGCCTGGGTGCGAGTCCTGCCATCACTTGGGATCCAACTTCCGGTTAACGTGCACCCTGGAAGGCAGCAGTTGATGGCTCAGGTACTTGAGTCCCTTCCGCCCACATGAGAGACCTGGATTGGGTTTCTGGCTCCTGGCTTTAGCCTGGCCCAGCCCTAGCTGTTGCAAGCATATGGGAAGTGAATCAGCAAGTCGAAGATCTCTGTAACTCTTGTCTCTGTATCTCTGTCTCTCTCTGTGTTTCTAATAGTTTTTTTTTTTTAAAAGAAAAAACAAGAATAGAAAATCTTAAAAATATAAAGGTATGGGTATTTATGGTTGGCAGAGCTGGCTGTCAGCAGGGACAACCTACAGAAAAAGAACTATTTAGTGTATGACCACATTAGGTTCAGGTATTTGAGTTTTCTCCCTATAATCCCCTCCTCAAAATTTTCACCTATTTCCTCCCTCTCTTTTTTAAGAAGATGATAAGGAAAAACTCCAAGAAAACTGACTCCTAAACTGATTATAGCTTTTAAAAAAGCCCACAAAATACAAAAACCCCAATCATTAATAATTTATGAAGGATGCAGGATTCTACTTGGAACGCTCATTCCTATAGCACAGGGTTTTAAAAATAGTTGAATTAGTTCACAATAGAGTCTGATGACTTAATAACTTTTACTCCAGCTGGGAAAGGAAGGAGAAGATGAGGCCCTTTTCTAAAAAGAGAAATTCTGTATTCAAAAAGAATGAAACTGGAATTGGGAAAAGCTAACTATGGTGTGACATTCCTTAAACAACAACAACGAAACAGTAAATATTTAAAATCAAATCCCTTTTCCCAGTCTTCTCCAAACTGAAACTGTTGATTATAAAGATATGGGTCATAGGAGTCTGCGCTGTGGTGTAGTAGGCTAAGCCTCCACCTGCGGCACTGGCATCCCATATGGGAGCTGGTTGGAATCCCTGCTGCACCTCTTCTGATTCAGCTCTCTGCCTATGGCCTGGGAAAGCAGTAGAAGATGGCCCAACTGTTTGGGACCCTGCAACCCGGTGGAAGAAGCTCCTGGCTCCTGGCTCCTGGCTTTGGACCAGCCCAGCTCTGGCTGTTGCGGCCATCTGGGGAGTGAATCAGTGGATAGATGACCTTTCTCTCTGTCTCTCCCTCTCTCTGTCTGTAACTCTACCTCTCAAAGAAATAAATAAAATCTTTTTTAAAAAAAGTTAAGGTCATCTTAAATTTAAAAAGTGTTTAGGCTCATAGTAACTAAGTGATTTTATCAGTTTGCTAAAAATTGCATTACAGAAAAAGCAAATAAGACACATGACATCTGAATTATTCTCATTCAAACTCTGTTACCAACTCACTATCAATTCCCAAGGGCCTCTTTTTCTAAAGTTGTTACAAAGTAATTCAATCAGATGATTTCTAAAGTTACTTATAATAGAAGCACTCTGATTCTTTGCAGAGCTGGTCTCACTTTCTTATATTAGAAGAAACCAACCTTTTTTCAAACTGTGTTCTACTAGATTCATTGGGTGTTCTGTGGTAGAAAAATGCTTTTTTGAGTTAGGCCTCCTGCTGCACTGAAAGGCCATCCATGAATAAGTCAGACTGGGCCTCCTCACACGGCACTCTTTAAAACACAGCGCCATATTCCGGAAGCTCCGCATGAGTCACTGCAGATGGGAATGGTCTCGCAGATGAGCATGAGCAACCGAACTACACAGAATCACATTAGCCAGGCTGATTGCAGAGACATCATCACAGCAAGCTTTCTGATGGGATGTCTGCTCATCTATTTTCTGAGCAGATCGTCAATAAAGGCTGAGCAAATGTCATTACACTGCAATAATAACACGCATCACTCAAAACTACAGGTTAACAAGCTTAAGCAGGAAGGAAAACATAAGTATTAGACAGTCCTGGGGCCACAGACTTTCAATCCCAAAGATAAATCTGTCTAGCTGTGTTGGTGTCCAGCTGGATGCTAGTAGGACATGATTAACCTCTCTGATGCCTAACTTCAAGCATTTTGGAATACTTCTGCTGAGTATCTGGAATCAAAATGTATAAGGCACATAGTTATATGAAATACCATGTTTGAAGTTGAATAGTACATAAAATAGAAGTACAGGACACTGAATTATTTTACAACTTGTCCTCATACCCTAAAACATACAAACACATACACACTCTAAGCTAGCAAGTGGCAGGCCAAGATCTAAACCCAACTTTTATTTTGCATTCTAGTGTTCCTTTGTTTATAACAGGAGAAAATATAAAAGATGTGTATGTGAATAAGTAATTTGCAAAATTTTGCTTTTAAGGCAACAATTTTTTGAAAAGCACTAGAAGACCCTCCAAAACTACAAATTACAAACTGAATTACAGATTTTAAAAAATATATCATGCTACCTAATAATCAGTTGAGTGACCACATAATTAACTCTCATTCTTTTGTTTATTTGCCTAAATATGTACTTACAACTATAGTATAAATGATAAACTATTTTAAATACCAAGAATTTAAACATAAAATTAAAATCCTTACATATAATTCCTAATGTTGTTTTTCAGTCGTGGTAATACAAATATCAGTATTTATTTATAATATGCCAGGCATTAAACTGCTCTTAAGACTCTTGGGATCCAGTAAATCTAGAATATCTAGTAGGCAGAATTCTGAGGCCAGTAGCATAGTAGGTAAAGCAGCTGCCTGTGACACTGGCATCCCATATGGGCACCAGTTCAATTCCTTGCTGCTCTACTTCCAACCCAGCTCCCTGCTAATGCACTGGGAAAGCAGTAGAAGATGGCCCAAGTGCTTGGGCCCCTGCACCCACGTGGCATACCTGGAAGAAGCTCCTGGCTCTGGGCTTCGGTCTGGCCCTGCTCCAGTTCTTGGTGGCCATTTGGGGAGTGAATCAGTAGATGGAAGATTCCCTGCCCGCCCCGCCTCTCTCCGTAACTCTGCCAATCACATAAAAATAATGTTTTCTTCTTTTACAAACAGTCAGAGTTGTCCTAAGGCAGAGCTATCTTTTGATACCGAGTTTTCTTTCCTTTTTGCCATCTACCTAGCACAAACACCCTAGAAAGCATGGATCTTCTTTTCCCTCTTTCCTGCCTATTCCATTACTCAAACATCTGTTAGATGTAAACTGTCCTCCAAATATTAGTGTAAGTAAAAGGGCATTAGTGACTCAGGGTGTGGGGGTGATTTCTGGCAATGTGGAGGTGACATATGTTCGGAAAAGCTAATAATTACTTCCCCAGACTTTTGGATATACAAAGTGGTCTAAGTTAAAGGTCAAGGGTGCTGGAGGAAGGATTCTTCCCAGAATTTAAAAATTCCTGCTTGTCTTACTTCAAAGTCCTTGTCTAACATTGCAGCCATTGCATGAGCTGGCATTCTCCTAATTTAAACTTGATGAACAGCTGAAATCAGATTGCTCATAGAATTCAATTATGTTGTCAAAGACACAAGCAGTTCCCTCTCAATTCATGTCAGGGTCTGCAATGGAAACAATGGATGAGTTTCAAAGGGATGAGCAAAGCTTCATAAACAATGATTATATGTATTGTGCTCATTTAATGTTGGTAATGCTCCAAATCAAGAAAAGATTTAAAAGGAAAATCAAGGTAATGCTCACCTATATCATCACAACTTCTTCCTTCTAAGTTGTTTTACATTTTGGTATTTTGTTTTGAAAAATGTTTCATGTGTGTTTCAAAATGATGTATGTTCCCTAACTGTTGGGTACAGAATCTATACACCTACCTGGTCTAATGATCATGCCTATTAACTGCACTATTCAAATGTTCTATCTTTTTTTTTTTTTTTTGACAGGCAGAGTGGACAGTGAGAGAGACAGAGAGAAAGGTTTTCCTTTGCCGTTTGTTCACCCTCCAATGGCCGCTGCGGCCAGCGCACCATGCTGATCTGAAGCCAGGAGCCAGGTGCTTCTCCTGGTCTCCCATGCAGGTGCAGAGCCCAAGCACTTGGGCCATCCTCCACTGCACTCCCTGGCCACAGCAGAGAGCTGGCCTGGAAGAGGGGCAACCAGGACAGAATCCGGCGCCCCGACCGGGACTAGAACCCGGTGTGCCAGCACCGCAAGGCGAAGGATTAGCCTAGTGAGCCGCGGCGCCGGCCTCAAATGTTCTATCTTTTTTAAAAATTTATTTGGAAGTGGGCAAGAGGGGAGAAAAGAAATGAGAGGGAAGAGAGGGGCAAGAGAGAGAAATTGAGGATTGAGAGAGAATCTTCCTTCCACTGATTCACTTCCTAAATGGTCCACAATTGCCAAGGCAGAGCCAGGCAGAAGTTAGGAGCCAGGAACTCCATCTGGATCTCCCACATGGGTGGCTGGGCTTGGGCTATCACCACTTCTCCCAGGATGTGCACTAGCAGGAAGCTGGAACTGGAAGCAGGGCTGGGACTTAAAAACAGGCACTCTTAACATATGGGCATCCCAATCAGCTTCTTCACTGCTGTGCCAGACACAGCAGTGTTTGATGCTTGACCATGAAATATTTTTTTAAAAGATTTATTTTATTTATTTGAAATACAGAGTTACAGAAAGAGGTAGACAGAGAGAGAGGTCTTCCATCTGCTGGTTCACTCCCCAGATGGCTGCAACAGCCGGAGCTTCGCTGATCCGAAGCCAGGAGCCAGGAGCTTCTTCCAGGTCTCCCATGTGGGTGCAGGGGCCCAAGGATTTGGGCCATCTTCAGTTGCTAGCCCAGGCTATAGCAGAGAGCTGGAGCAGAAGAGGAGCAGCAGGGACATGAACCGGCACCCATTTGGGATGCCGGCGTTTTAGGCCAGGGCGTTAACTTGCTGTGCCACAGCACCGGCCCCGACCATGAAATGTTTCTAAAAGTTGTTTTAAGCCGGCGCCGCGGCTCACTAGGCTAATCCTCCGCCTAGCGGCGCCGGCACACTGGGTTCTAGTCCCGGTTGGGGCGCCGGATTCTGTCCCGGTTGCCCCTCTTCCAGGCCAGCCCTCTGCTGTGGCCAGGGAGTGCAGTGGAGGATGGCCCAGGTGCTTGGGCCCTGCACCCCAGGGGAGACCAGGAAAAGCACCTGGCTCCTGGCTCCTGCCATCGGATCAGTGCGGTGCGCCGGCCGCAGCGCGCCGGCCGCGGCGGCCATTGGAGGGTGAACCAACGGCAAAGGAAGACCTTTCTCTCTCTGTCTCTCTCTCTCTCACTATCCACTCTGCCTGTTAAAAAAAAAAAAAAAAGTTGTTTTAAAATCTAGTAAATATGACAGAACATTTAAAACTCTATGGAAAAATGGAATTAAAAGATTAAAAATACAAACTATTTCTCAACATAAACTCCAACAAGCACAAGACATTTACAAGCAGTGATCCCACCCATTTAATCTACCCCTAAAGAACAAAGGATCCTGGGAAATTAACCAAGTCAATGCAGCCTTTTTAATATTGTTAACTGGAAAAAAAAAAAAAGGCAACCTTTTGAGATGACTAGGAAACCAAAGGAATCAGGACTGTATCATCAGTGCCTAAGGAGTTCCTGTCGAAACCCTCACAACATTGCTCATCTGATGAGAGGAACGAGCAGGAGCACTGTGGTGGTGGGAAGCCCTCTTTATTGAAGCTTGGTCAGGTTATTTGTGTAGCAAAGCTTTGGCTAACTTTTTAATAATTAGATGTTACTATTTTTAGCCTTCCACAGAGACAACAAACAAAATGCTGAGCCTCCTAAAAAAAGCATTCCATGGCTGTTCTCTTGAGTCCGTGTTTTCTTTCCCCAGACCACTTCCACCTCTTGGTAGCCATTGCTTTGTGCTTTGTTTGAACTAGTAGAGCCACGTTTTATTCCCTTTCTGAAGTCTTTGAAGAAATGCTTGACGATTTTAATACCCCTTGTTGAAAATTTCCATTGAAATCTCTGCTCTTGTTCACAGCTGAACTGGGCACAACAGTTTTATTTTCAGCAGAAATGTCCAAGCTGAGCCCGTTCAGGTGTCTGCAGCGCAGGCTATTGTTTCTGCCGTTGGTCACTGGCATTCTTCAACTGAGCATGGACCAGATCAATTTTTTCCTTGTAAATTGAGGTGGACTGTCTTCATTGTCAACATTGTCTCATTCCTTATTAAAATGAGTCACCCATTTGCAAATGGGTGACTTAATTTGGGACATTGTTCCCATTAACTTTCATAAAATATCAATCATTTTATCATTTATTCACTCAAGCTTCACCATCAACTTGTGTGCTGTTGTTTCAATTATAGCATACTTTGTATTGTTCAGATAGGAACTCGTTTTAAAATAGAATTTCTTTCTCAGTATCATGATAGGTGTTCAGAAATAACAGTTTACTACAAAATTATTTTAGCAAAAAATTTTTGAAATCCATGTGGTTTTTGTCATTCATATTCCATGAACTTTGCAAAGATCTCTCACACTGCAGTTATAAATTTCTCCTTACAGTTCTATAAAATTTGCTTTAAATATTTTGGGGCTATTTAAAATTGTTAAATTTTTTGAGATTTTTTTAAAGATTTATTTATTTATTTGAAAGAGTTATAGAGAGAGAAGCTGAGAGAGAGAGAGAAATCTTCCAACTACCAGTTCACCCCCCAGATATTTGCAGCAGCTGGGGCTGAGCCACGCTGAAGCCAAGAGCCAGGAGCCAGGACCCCCATCCAGGTCTCTCATATGGGCCGCAGGGGCCCAAGCACTTGGGCCATCTTCCACTGCCTTTTCTAGGCAATTAGCAAGGAGCTGGATCAGAAGGGGAGTAGCCTATGTGGGATGTCAGTATCACAGGTGGCAGCTTTACCTGCTATGCCACAACACCAGCATAGTTGAATCTTTTCACTTTAACATAAATTTTGTCTGATATCCATACAGCTACCTTAGTATTTTACATTTTTTTCTAAACTCTACTGTTTAGCCAGTGTTACTGCTAGCCAACATTCTTTTAATTTTTGTTTATTTTCATTTTATTCAAAAGGCAGCAAGACAGAGAAAGGGAGAGATGGAAACAGGTATCTTTCACCTATAGATTCACGTCCCAAATGTTTCATCAGCCAGGGCTAGGCCAGGTGAAAGTCAGGAGCTGGAAACTCAACCTGGGTCTCCTATGTGGAAGGCACTGATCCAACTAACCACCCACTGTCTCCCATGGTGTGCATTAGCAGGAAGCTGGAACCAGAAGTGGAGCTGGGACTCAAACCCAGATACTCTGATACAGGAAGCCAGCCACCCAAGCCAAGTGTCCTGCTCTGCTACCTCCCTCAGTATTCTCCTGCTTAGTACTTGCCCGACATGCCTGATTTGATATGGTTATCTTCATGGTTTTAGGTTTCATATGTGTTTCTTACAAAAATAACATAGTTGGGGGCCAACATTGTTGTGTAGCAGGTAAAGCTGCCACTTGCAATACCAGCATCCCCAATGGGCACTGCTTCATATCTTGGCTGCACCACATCCTATTCTAGTATTAAGCAGTTAAGTGATAATATTACTGAGTTTAAATTAGCAAACATGGGAAAGAGAATGGCATCAGCAAGTTCTTTTGATAGGAAGAAAAAACCTACTTCAAAACACTTTTAACAGAGTAGGTGAATGTATTATAAGGATATAAGGTATCTCAACAGAACTACAGAACAGCGCCTCTTAAGGAGCTGAAATCAGAAATTACAAAATACTGGAACACATTTTCTCTCTCTTCCATCTCAGACTTTTCTGTGGTTCAGAATAGTGTCTCTTGGGCCCAACTTCAGGTTTTCAGGAATTAGCAGGCCTCAGTTCCAGTGTCCACGCCTGTCCTAACAACCGGAGGGGAAAGAAAGGTTCTCAGAAAAAGGGAAGCATCATGAGCCAAACACCTCAGTTTTCTACTGCAGGCAAATCGGAAACATTTAAAACATTAAATCCTGAGGGCAAGAACTTACATACATTTTTTTTTCCTCTCAGGTTCAAGGTCATGGTAAAGTGGCCAAAGTTGGCAGGAGAAAAAACAAATGTGCATATTTTTAAAGGCAAAGTATTTATACCATAACTTAAGCCTATATGACTCTTCCTATCCTGAGAGCTAGAAGGGATGAATCTAGGTTTTAAAGCTTAGGATGCTAAGTGTTAAACAACTTACCTAACTACCTGCCCTCCTTCTAACACGCTAATTATACTCCAGCTAACTGAACTGCTAAGCTCCCCAAATGTCATCTGTTTCCAGGTCCCTATACCTTTGCACGTCCTGTTGCCCTCTATGCAATCATTCAACAAGTATTACCTGAGCACGGAGTGTATCTGAAAAATGATGCTAAGCATTAAGTAAGCACTCAAGGAGTTCAAATTCAATAATTCAAGTACATAAAAAGAAAGATTCAACAAATTTACCAAAAACAACAACAACAAAAAGATACTGCAAAGCAGTATGAAGGAAGTCTCCCTTACCAAGTACAGATGGTCTGAGAAAAGACAGAGAGGGCAAGAAAGGCGAGATCTTTGATTTTTGGTGTGGACCTCTACTACACAGATGTCTGACAAAGCCAAGATAACGTCCTTCTTCCTATCTTCACAATCCTCTTTCTCATTCTCATTTTCTCCTCTCCTTCCTATCCACTTCCTAATTACCAGGAGTTTTGCATGGCACAGTCCTGAATGAGGAAGTATGGTCAAAGATGCCTAACGTCCAGTTCTTTCTTCCCTGGCCACCCTATCCTTCACCAACCACATCCCCCAGAGTTAATCATCTTTATGAAGTTTTCACTCATCCTTCCAACGTTTCTTTTTGAAAATACAAATGAATGAATGCAGTCATACTCCTCCCATTTCTTTTTAAAAATACATTTTACTTATTCTAGAGACAGAGAGACACTGAGAAAAGGGGGCAAGGATGAGGGGCTCCCATCCCCTGGTTCACTCCCCAGATGTCCATTCCAGGTCAAAGCCAGGACCCAGGAACTCAACCCAGATCTCCTACGTGGGTCTGGCAGGTACCCAACTACTGGGCCATCAGCTGGGCTCCTCAGAGTCGGCACTGGCAGGAAGCTACAGTCAGTAGTCAGAGCTGGGAATCAAGCAGAGGCACTAGGCATGCGACGAAGGCATCTTAGCGTGTTTTAACCACTAAGCCAAATGCCTGTTCCTTCCATTTCTTAAATAAAAGCATACTAAGTACACCAGTCTTCTCTCTCCTGTTTGAACTTATTGCATCTTGGATATAAGTTCTCGTTCCTTTTTACAGTTGTGTAATATACTACTGAGTTGTCCTAAATGGGACAATGGGAGCTTTTCCCCAACTGTCAGTATTACAAATAATAAAGAGGCTGGCACTCTGGCACAGCAGGTTAAGCCACCACCTGTGATACCAGCATCCCAGATGGGCACCAATTTGTGTCCTAGCAGCTCCAATCTGATCCAGTTCTTTGCTAATTGCCTGGGAAAGGCAGTGGAGGATAGTCCAAGTGCTTGAGCCCCTGCCACCCATGTGGGAGATCTGGATGAAGCTTCTGGCTCCTTGCTTCAGCCTAGCCCAGAGCTGGCCATTTCAGCCATCTTGTGAGTGAACGTGCAGATGCAACATCTCTCTCTCTCTTTCTCTCTCTAACTCTTTCAAAATTAACATTTTTTAATAAGTGGGATTATTTTAAAATCCTATTTGATAATCCTTTTAAATGACAAAAGTGGCACTTAAATTTATTGGGATTACTGTTGAACTTGATTGTGCTTTTCATTTTCCCTGGGTATCTTTTTGCTCTTTTCCTGTCCTTTTTTTTTTTAACTGTTAATTTTCTGGGTCTAATTTAATCCTATGTTGATTTGGAACATTCATGTCTTTTTTTCCCCCAGTGTTTAGTCTTCAAATTTTATTATGGACCAAACAGTTTTGAAGTTAATTGACATCATAATTCATATCTCAAACAATTCAAGGTCCTTGGGAGAGTGCTTCTTAATCTTTACTGTACATGTAAATTACCTAGGGGTTTAAAATACATATTCAACTCAGTCAGTATGAGGTTATCTTGACATTATGCATTTGAAAAAAGACTGATTTATTTAAAAGGCAGAGTGACACAGAGAGGGAGATATTTTGCCTTTCAAATAA